ACTCATGATTCTAATAACAGTTGAGGAGCAAATTATTGTGGCCTTATTCCTTATCAGTTTACCCACACACACACACACACAATAAATATTTACTCGACTTGACTGGCGTGACGCGAATAGACGGCCGTGGTGTTCTCTGTCGACTCTTTTGGCTCCCCCCTCCTCGGGTTGCTGCCGGCTTTTAACTATGGGGCCGTAGGGTAGTTCCAAATTCTGTCGCTTCGATACGTTTGGCTTGTGCTACAATTTTCGTCGGATGGGTTCCAAACTCTTCTAGGACACCGCGAGTCGACTGCACAATACTTACGAACCACCCATGAAAATTCCTGTTAGAAGAAAATATTCGCCAATTCCTTTTACCAAAAGGGCAGAACTGTGGCGATTGCACGCGAGCACAGTTAGCAGCCGCGATCGAACACGATTCAATCGATTTTTTCGTGAATACGCCTCGCGCAACTCCGTGCGTTCAGCGATCGATACTGAGCGAAGCCATGCAAACGCAATCGTTACCCTGTACACACGCACCACACGCCGTTACTTATTTAATAAATTGGTTGAGCCACGCGCCATCGGCATTTTCGACTCCTTTTTTCGACTGGGCCGTGTCAACGTAGATTGTCGGCCCAGGTGTGGTTCCCCAAAACGGGGCCTCCATTTCTCCTGAATGATAGGTAATTTTTATGCTAACAATCTGGCCAACCAATGAGGTCGGCGTTACCACTCGTCGGAACTCGCATGGGGTGTCTCTGGGGTGGGGCTGGGACTGCTACACTTTGCAGCTATCGCAACCGCAGATGATGCCGTAGACATCCACCCTCACCATACCCACCGTCTCTTCCTCCCTTTGTCGTCCCGAGTTAACAGGGCGATCGAAGTTTATCCGCTTCTGCCACCACTACCCCCTACCCCTCCTCCTCCTCCTACCAAACTACCACCGCCGTGTTTGCACGCCTGTGTGAAATATTTATGCGCATATCTGTGTGTGTGTGTGTGAGAGGGGGGGGGCGAGAGGGTTGGGGAATAATACTGCGATTTAGGCGAATTATTTTGCAAAGAGGCGCGTGGTGGACAGGGGGAGGGGGCAGCCGAATTACCACCCGCGTTGGCCCCAGAGCACACCACGCAAATAATTAATGCGCGCTTTAGATGCCTCTCTCTCTCTGAGTGCATTGTTGCCGTGCTGTTTAGGCAAACTGCAATTACGCCTCGCCTCATTACGACCTGCCTGGCTTGTGATCTTCAACTCACGCGAGCACTGCACGAAGTACGTCGAAATGGCGATCCAACAATTAATCGTGTGTGTGTGTGTGTTGTGGGTGTGTACCAATATGTGACAAGGGGATGTCGAGCCAATCCACTGGTGCCCGTACGCGCTGGCTCAAGGTCGTTGCCATGACGATTACATACCTACTTTGGTGAATGAGGCACTCATGGGATCTAAGTTCAACAGAGCTGGAGCAAACAGTTGACTGACGACGCGGTGGAACTTCAACTGAATGCTTCAAATTCTAAAGTAGGCAAAGCTCACTGGAACACAGTCACGTGACTTTAAGGAGGGAAAGAGAGGGATTGACAGAAGACGCGATAGGGGCGGAAAAAGGCATTTATTACCGCCATGAGTGAGGTTCAGGGGAGTGAGGCGCGGGCAGGTGCGCGTCACTCGCAACTGCACCGCTGGATCCACGGCGCACTGCGTGTGCTGCTTAGCCGTGGGGCAACGAAAAAGTCCACTCTCGGATTCCTGCCCGTCATGGTTCCCGTCAGAGCGCGTTCTTTGCACTCAACCAATCGCGGTTTGACACTGTGGCAACGATCGCCAACGTAGACAAAACTACAAAGGAATCACACCATCCAGTCAAGCGTGGTTTCCTCAAATTCTAGGTGCTTGCGCTACAACCACACGCGTGACAAAACACATGCTTTACCGTTGGTTGGGAGCAGGAATGAGCGAGTAGTCACGATAGTGGGGGACTTTAGGCGCAATGAAGAAGTCCACACGAGGGTTGACGCCAACGATGGTTTTCCGGCGTCGCTGTTCACAGGGCAGGTCCTGTGGAGTGGGCTGACGACGGCAGCAGGCAAGGGCGCGAGCGGCCTCACGAGCTCGATTCAACTGCACCACCTTCATGACCTCGAAGCCGTAGACGGCGTTCGACGTGTTCGGTTGGTCGTCGAAGGCGTTGGAACGATTTGGCCCTCGGCCACGCTTCGTCGCCTGCCTAAATCGCCCGCGAAACCACACACACTACTGTAACTATTTCAGTAAGTCTTCGTGGACGGGAATTGTCGGCGTCTTCCAACACCGACCATCAATATTAAACGACAATTTATTTGTGTGCGTTCTTGCTGAGCTATACTAAAGTTAAACATTGCGTTGTGGTATGCTAGTGGTTATTACTACGAATAACACAAACAACGGGAAGGAGATCAGAATATGTGGGCGGGTGTTTAGAAAATGTAAATGAGATTTGACTAAAGTAACATTTGCACAGACGTTTTCATGAATCAGAATGCAAAAAATGGTGATGCGTGCTTTGTGCTTGAAATGAGTAGCTATGCGCTATTGAATGACCGCTATCTAGCTAAGTATTTATCAGTACGGTCAAGATAAATGTGAATAGGCGATGTACCACAAAATGTGACATCATTGGAATCCCATTAATGTAGACATGCGTGTAGCAGCTGCGGAAGAGGCAAATGCAATTGACGTATATTAGATATGTTATCATCGAAAAATGATTTTTCCTCAAAAAAGGATATTATAATGTTTTTTTTTGGCAATTATACATGTGAACTATGCATTTCAGAAACTTAAAGATGCCTGACTGTCATCATTTCAGCGTCACACATACACATTTCGCTCATTCCAAAATTATTGCCCTTGAGAGAGAACTGGATCCATATTTAAATCACGAACATAGCCCTGAAGCATAATCGCCCTAACGAGGAAACTAAATCATAAACATAGTCGCAATGCATAAATGCACAAAAGAAATTTAAACACAAAACACATTGTTCTAAAATGATGTTTGTATCGAAATATGATATAAAAACAAACCCAATTTGTTGCTATGAAGAGGGAATAGTTTATTGCTGAGTAATCTGTTAAGCACAATATAAATCCTTCCTTGGACTGCGGTAATACTCAAAAACAACTGTACACCCACTCGACAACTGGATCTCAAACAGAGATGTTAACGCTTTTAAGAAGCTTTCTTGATACCTTTTAAAATTATGCTTTTATTGTAATAATTACACCCTTCCTACATTTTGCAGGGTAGCGGTAAAGCCTTGACATACAAATAAAATAAAAACTACGTGCCACATTAGCCATTTAAACCTCAGACTTTCAAATACTTACAGGGCTAAACAAAAATTAAGCCGAAAATAGGGAGAAAAAGCTCTTTTTCGAACTTCACTGCCACACACTTAAGGAGCAGTTGCTTTTTAGGCAAAACATGAGTCAAAATCTATGTACGAAAGCAAAGAAGTAAAATTTTATGGAGCCAAATCAAACAAACAAATTAATTTGCAAAAAAACATAGTGGTGGTCGATTCCGTGTAGCGGAACCGAACGGACGACATTGTAAATCAAGGGCTAATTATAGATGTTAACTCCGCTTCCAGAAAAAGAAATCAAAACTAATAAAAAACTATATCACGACATAGATCGTAGCATCATCGAAATGTTATTAGACAGTTTCTACTTAAGTTAAAAGCGGCAATAGCAAACTTAACAAAACATA